AGGGTCACTGAAGACAAGACATTTTGGAGAGGGCTCATAAGGTTGCCATAGGTCAGGGGCAACATGATGGCACGTAGCAACAAAGGGGAAATGCAGGCCATCTGGAGACCCACCACGGGTCTACTCGAGCTGCATGCACGGTTTGGAGATCTTCCCCCCCCTCTTTTAAAAACTGGGAATTTCAAAGCGAACAGCTCAAGAGCTGAAAACCCACCAGAGGGAAGCTGATTAAAGCAGCTCCCTGCATATATTTATTTCTCCTTTTGCTGTAATGAAACCTCATCTTAGTACAGCGTTTGGCACCCGGGGGGGAGGGAGGTTGGTGTTGGCTTCGCTTGGCTTTTCGCCTCCGATTCCAGCCCTATACAGAATGGATTCTGCCTGGGAGAAACAAAATAAATAGAAATGAACAGAAGAAGGCGGGCGGGCGGAGGGGGGGGGAAGAGAGTGCAAAAGAAACTTTCCCATGAAACTATTTTATTTTCTTAAAGAACAGGATACACCTGCGGGTCTCAACACTCAAGGGTTGGGTCTGTGTTCCGATTCATGGGTTGATGGATCCCTCTGCTGGCCAGGGTCGGAACTGCGGCATGGACTCCCCCTCCTCCCCCCCACTTTGGGGGGAGAGAGAGCCTTTTAACAAGCAACCAGGGAATGAGAGAAAGGGAGCCAACTTTTATACAACGGGAAAGGAAGTCCAACTGTCTTCAGGCTTAATGAAGGGGAAGAGATAGTCCAGCGGCACAAGGCCATAAGGCAGAATTGGATCAAAAAAAGGAGTGCAAAGTACAGTATATTTATTTTGCAAAAATATATATATATAACAATAACAAGCACGGGACGAACATGTTGGTGCAAAGACTTCCAGAGGTTGGAATATGGCATGTTTTGGACTCCAAGTTCCAGGATCAAACCCCCCCCCCCCGCAAGGCAGGAACGTTTTCGAGCTCTGGAAATATTACCTCCCCCTGATTTCAGAAGGAAGGGCAGGGGATTGTGTGTTCAGATCGCCTCTTGACCCAGGACGGCTCTCCACCCATTTCACATTTCCAAAAGGGAAGTTGCAGAAAACCGGAGCAAAGCAGAGATCAGACGGGCCGGCCCAGAAAAGGGGGCTATTTCTAACACAAGCCTGCAAAGTTTTTTATTATTTTTTTTTACCGGGGGGTGGAAATAAAAGAAAGGGAAAAAGTGTTTTTTTGGGGGGGGTGGAATTTTCCCCAGACATGGACTTATAAAATACAGGGAGGGAGGGGGGAAAAAAATAACACAGCTTATCCTCACTGTTCTCTTTGATTTCCTGCCCACCACATGCCAAAGCTCAGAAGCGCCGGCCAGCAGCAATCGCGGAGAAAAGAGCGCCAGCAACACACGATCCGCCTCCCGATCCCTCTCGAGGAAACCTTTGGAGCAGCAGGCCTTGGAGCGAGCAAACGGGCTCCTCGATCTCAGCCACGCACGGACTGTCCTGCACACCGCTCCAAAAGGGCGCCCTCCCAACATCTTCAACTACAACTCCCATCAGCCCCAGCCAGAATGCTGGACGACGACACACCCAGAGGGCGGGAGGCGCAGGTTGTAGAAAGAAATCACTGCATGGATGTCTAGCGCTCATCTCTCGATCTCAGGACGCTGGTTTCCAAAGTGTGCTGGAAATCAGAGCCGGCAACGGTGGGGCAATGGTTAGAGCAGTATGGGAATCGGCCTACTCTGCAGGGATAGCGTGAGTCATAAACAGCCAGTTCCATAGATTCCTTTGGAAGGCCAACTTACCCAAAGCTTGTGACAGAACACACAGCCCGCAAATCCCTCCGTTTTTTTTCTTCTTGGCTCAGAATGTCTCTCCCCTGCCCAGCCAGCTAAAAACAATCATCACCCACATACTGTTAAACAGACCGGCATGTTGCTGATTAAAATTTGGGGTGCTCTCTCAGTGACATGGCTTCTCAAGTTGGCACAGGTCTCTCTACAAACACACACACCCATTTATCAAAGCACACCCTTCAGTCTCCCTCGGAGAGTCACTGCCATGGGGCTCCCCCCTTCTCAAAAAAGAGCGAGACAGAAAGGGGGGAAGTGGGGGTCCCCAGAAGTATTAATAGAAATGTCCATCCGCAGGACCAAACTGTTGCTCGCCACTAGGCATTTGCCAGAAAAGGGAAAGCGAGATCTGTGCAGAATTTAATAGGATCAGAAAGGGGGGGGGGGGGAAAACCTCGACAAA